TTTTGGCTCTGGATGCTGAGGAATGACTTCACTAAGTCTGGCTTTTATCTCTCCGAAGAGTTCCATGTCTTTGAGCAGATCTTCCTTTTGGGATGACTCTCCATTCTCACAGCTGGTTTTATCACCTCTGATAGTGCACAAACAGGTCCTTTTCTAGGTCTGAAAAACACAAATCCTATGGAAAAGAGAACATATAAACATTACAAATGCTATACAAAACAGTAAGTCATAACAAATGTATGACATAGTTGGTGTCCCCCTCCCCCCATTCCCAGTATCTGTTGGGGACCACAAATTGTAAACTGAGGCTAAGGTCTGTTGAAGAACAGTGACTGTCTTGCTTTGTGAGCCTGTTGGGACACAGATACCCCCACTGTCTCCTGGCTGTGGCTGAGCCTCAGTGGTCTGTGAAGTCAGTGCTCACAGGGCAAGGGAAGATCTGTTGAGGATGCTTTGGTTCTTTAGAACAATACAGTAGTGATAGTAAAAGTTCCACGTGGAAACAATAGGTTCCCTACTAATCCAAGTCATGTTCTTGTAAGAATGCTTTGATCCCCTTATTACTTCTCACTGCTGCTCCTCAAATCATCTGTTGCCCTCTCTAAGTGAGTGTGTGTATTCAATAAATAGCGGCAAGCTTGGAGAGTCCTTTCTCTGCCCATCCTGAGGCACTAAGCTCTCAGCCCCTTTAAGCATTCCTAATATCGTCTTTGTCTTTTATTTCGTCCTTCACCATACCCCTCAAACAGGCAGCCGAGGGTCGTGGTCTGGTCCTCGGTAGGTATCATCATAACATATGGGCTCGGCACAGTAAAGAAATCAGAGGCCATAAAGATAGATGATAGCAGCAGGATTTATTTTGTGGTACCCAGGATTAAGCCCAGTCACTTTGATGCGCAGACTTAGAAGATTCTCTTATACTGACTGGTCCTTGCTTTTTTTTTTTTTTTTTTTTTTTTTCGGAACTGGGGATTGAATCAGGCCCTTGTGCTTGCCAGGGAATCATTTACTCTACCAAGCCATCTCCCCAGCCCCTGGTCTTTGCTTTCTTTTCCTTGTTTATTTCAGCATGGTGTTGAAGTCCTAGCTTTGAGTGTGCTTGTATTTGAAGAGGACCTTTAATGAGGTAAGTAAGGTTAAATGAGATCATAAGATGGGGCCCTAATTCAACAGGAGTGGTCTCCTAAGAAGAGGAAGATATACCAGGAATGCACACGCACCAAGAAAGGGCCCAATCTGAAGGCACAATGAGAAGAGTTGGAGGCAATGAAAGGGGCCTCACCAGGGCCTACCCCCATCTTGGGCTTCCGGCCTCCAGAACGGCACGCAGATAAACTTCTGTTGCTTTAGCCGTCTAGTCCACAGTGTTCTTTTACTGGAGCTCTAGCCAGGACGCCATAAATTCTCCCGTCTCAAATTGGAAATTTGCGGGAATTCAAACTAGATTAGATAACAGCAGACAAAAGATAAGGGATTACTACTTTAAATGAGTGTTTCAACCCCATCCTCTCTATCATTTGGATCAAATAGAGCTTTTATATATGGTGAAAAAATATAATTCATTCTGTGTTGGGGCCACAGGGAAAAGATAAAATCTTCCATTGATGCTAAAAGACATTGAGGAAGGCAGTAAAAGCCTGGGTATACTGCAGTGTCCAGCCTATGAATTATGAAGCTTAATGTAATTTGAAATTCTTTCCTCACCCCAACTCAATTTTTTTTTTCTGAGATAGTCTCACTCTGTAATTCAGGCTGAATTTGAACTCACCATGTAGCCCAGGCTAGCCTCGAACTCATGGTAATCCTTCCTGTTTTGTTTCCTGAGTGCTGGGATTACAGGCCTGATCCACTCCAACCCAGTTCTGGCTTATCATTGGATTCTGGTCTGTGTTGGATGCTTTTCTGATTATGTTTACTTCCCAATGTGATCTCTTGGCCTCCTACTGGAATGCCACAATTATGTACATCTTGCTTGGCATGATGAACCTCGGACTATCTGTGGTCTTCATTTTTTACAGGAAAATTCTGTAGGCAGTGCGCAATGCCTTTTACTCCTTGGCCTGGGGATATAGTTCAGAGGTAGTGCACCTCTGAGGCTCTGGCTTCACTACCTAACACCAAGAGGAAGATTTCTACCCATGAGCTTAGTCTATCTTCTCTGTGGAGAACAAATTACCTAGACAAACACAGTAGGGCAGATGATCAGTCTGTTTACCTGAATCTTCCTGTTCGTCCCTCACACATTATTTCCCAGAACAGTCACTTTCCTACCTCCCGATATGCCATGGACTGATCTCTCCACAGTCCTCCCTCTAAATCTGTTCCTCTAGCTGGACTTCCGCAGTCAGTGACAAACTAACCCCAAGTGTCATAGAAAGCCTGAATAGTGATGAAGACCATCTATGGATCAGCAGCCCTGAGAATGAGAAAAACAATCTACTGGCCTTTTAGTCATTCATCACCCTCAGGATGCTGCTTATTTAACATCTTTCACGTTTTGCTTTTCCCTCAGCATTTCAACATGAAGTTCCTCACACCAGCAAGTTTTCGCGAATGTGAATTCTCTGGTGTTGACTCAGGTGAGAGCTCTGACCGAAGGCTCTACCAACTTGCTGCACTCACAGGGCTTCTCTCCAGTGTGGGTTCTCAGGTGTCGAATAAGGTGTGCACCCACTCGGAAGGTTTTCCCACATTCACCACAATCATAGGGTTTCTCCCTGGTGTGAATTCTCTGATGTTGGACAAGATGTGAGTTCAGGATAAACGTTCTCCACATTCCTTGCATCTGAAGGGTCTTTCCCCAGCGTGAGTTCACTGATGTCTAATGCAATCTGAGCTTTCCCCAAAGCCTGTCCCACATTGATTACATTCATAGGCTTTTCTCCAGTATGGACTCTCTGATGCCTAACAAGCCAGGAGCTATGCCTGAACGCTTTTCCACAGTCACTACACTGATGCCTTTTCTCTCCACTGAAAACTGCTGCAGGTTTGCTAAGGTTTGGGCTCTGAAAAGAGTTTCTATAGTGGTCATTTTTTTCTCCAAGACAAATTCTTTCATGCTTATCAAAATCTGAATTCCATTTGAAACTCTGGTCATAAGTACCATGTTTACAAGGTTTTGGTACGTGAGTTCATTTGAGTTCAGATTTAAAGTTCTCTCACATCCATGTCATCTTATTTCACCTGTGACTACTGAAAGTATATTTTTATGGGTAAGGATTTTACTAAAACTTCCATCTTTGGAAGATGATGGTCTCTGAGATTCATCAGGTTCTTTTTCCTGCTGTTTCTTTACAGATTTACAGATGTCCCGAGGCTCAGCAGATTCTTCTGATATGGCTCCTGAGACTCTTGCTCATTTAATTCTCTGCAGTTCCGTTTCTTCATAAATTCCAGTCTAACATGGATCCACTGTTTTCACTCTTACTATCTAAAATAATAAAGAAGGAGGTAAATTTCTCTTATTTGCTGAGCTGCAAGAACGTGCTGGGGTACACTCAAGATAGTTACATGTTGATACTTCATTTGCCTACTTTAAATATGCAGCCTTTCATGTGAAAGCAAAATGGACAGGATACAGAGGGAAGAAAGAGGCACAGGCATGGAATTCATTCAGTGATTAGGCAGAGAGAAGAAACACAGCTCCAAGATGAGCAGATAACACAGAAATGACTGAGAAGAGAACAATCAGAAGAATGGAGAAGGCCAGAAGTAGAGTAAGGAGAAAGAACTACACAGTGTGGCCAAATGGATCTTGGGGCTTTGGGTCTTATGCATTTCTGGGGGTAACTAGAGATTGAAAAAGCAAGGCATTATTTCAAAGCAAGACGAGAAAACACTGGGAAAAAAAGTAAGACTGTAACTTACTCTGAGTTATGTGTATGTGGAGGGAAAACCTTGAGCCATGAAACTATCATCCGTCCATTGTTTTCTTCATGGTCCATGGCTAATGAATTCTCCAAGTTATCATCACTTTCTGCTAAATGTCCCCTATGTACCCTTTGCAGTTCTGCTACCATTCCCAGAGGCTGAAACCTTACCACTTCCTGCTAGACACCTCTAACGGCCTCCTTGCTGTTTGAACTCTGTGCTTCCTTCTTCTTAAGTAACCTTAAATAAGGTTACAAACAGCATTGTTTCTGGGGACCAGTGCCGCATGTTGAGCTGGGGATTGAACCCTGGTCTCTGCACTTGTCTAAGCAGGCGCTTAGTCTGCTGAGTTACCTGGCTGGCCCAGGATTATGTTCTGTTTGAACACAGCATCATGTACTTGTCTTGCTCTTGAGCCATTATTCCTACTACTGTGTTTTGCTTCTGCCCATGTGCTTTTTTTTCTTTTTTCTTATGCTTCTTTTCTCTACGACGTTTCCGCAACTCATTCAGTGTTCTTTTCTTCAGTTTGGTCACAACACAACAACATCTGTGTTTTGGAAATATTTTGCACAAGTTGTAAAATTCCCTTTTCCCTCTCAATTGACCAAAGACTTTAGGGAACCAGTTCTCCATTTGATTGAGCAATGAAGGAAAGGACCACCTATAGTTACTAGGACTACTCTGAGAAGGGAGAGTCGCTCCCCACCTTCTGCAGTGACATGTACCACCCGGCATGTAGTGTGTGAGCCCTCACCACAGTCCAGGAAGAGCTGGGGCTCTGAAGAGCCAGAGCGGGCTTTGGACTCCGCTAGCTGAAGCTGGACATTGACTGCTGGGACAGGAAGTGTGAGTCTTTTCCTGAATATTTTGTGTCCATGTCCAAATCTTTGTTCATGGGATGGAACCTGAGAAAATTAAAATGTACTTGGGCTCATAAGAGAATCTTTATTGGAATCCAACATCTTACAACAAAGACAACTTCTTCTGAGGAAGAAAGAATAAAGCCTGAATCAGTGGCCCAGGGTAGTACGGCCCAAACAGGAAGAGACACAACTGCACGCTAAACTCTGCATGTCTCATCAGACACCCAGTCCCAGGCATCTCCTCCCACTCTGGAGGGATGAGGTTTCCCAAGTGTACCTGGGGAACACGTGCTTCTTCAGTGCCTCTCTCCAGATCGCCCAGTATGTTCATGGCTTCCTCTTTGGTCTCTGGGTAATGTTCACGCTGCCTGCAGCTCCCGGGCAGGACGGCCAGGAAGTGCTCCAGCACCAGCAGCTCGGCGATCTGCTCCTTGCTGTGGGTCTCAGGCCGCAGCCACCGGTGGCAGAGCTCGCCGCGCAGGGCTTCTCTGGGTTCAGGGGCATCCTGGTAGCAAAACTTCCTAAAAAGTCGTTGGCGGTGCTCCTGTCTGAAGGGATCTTTTCTCTGCAAGCAAGTGTCTAGATCCCAGATTAGCTCTTCCTTTTCCACTACTAGAAGTCCTTTATCTATTAGTAAGTTCTTAGCTGCAGTTTTCCTTGATTCTGTTGCCATCTCAGGGTAAAGATACTCGTAGAAAACCAGAAGGCCCTTCTTCTGAGGTGTCCTAAGGCATCAAAAATCACTTTCTAGAGAGTGGAAAACCACATCATAGAAATTATTATTCTAGATCACTGAATATATATTGAGTATAAAAACATTCATCCCTGCTTCCTAGATTATGATGACTACCTGACTTACTCCAACACAACTTTAAATTATTTACATTTTAAAGTATTGCTAAATATTAACAAACCTTGTGATTAAATTATATAAAGAAAACAAAGACCCAAAGCGGAAAGTGATAGAAGTGCTTTATAAAAGGGGATGGGGTTGCATAGTTGATGGCATTCACTGGGGGAAGCTTGTTGAAATTTTGAAGTATTAAACTTTACCAGGAAACGGCAGGCAGAAACAGGAAATCACAGGCAGATAAACCACGTGAACAAACGGTTAAGGGATAGAATATAGGAAGTGGGAAAGCAAAAAGCTCGGTAGGTCTACGTAAGAACTATGAAGGAAGGGGCTGTAGAGCATCACCAGTCAGGGTCCAGGATTTATAGTTCATATTCCAGGTAGGAGGAAGCCAGTGAAAGCAGAGGAGAAAGAATGTCCTGCTGGGCACTTCCGGGGGTTGGGATAGTTTTCATTTCTAGGACGCACAGCGCTGTGAAGAGAGGACTGCACTCATACGAGAGGAGGGAAACAAAGCTTAGATTGTTGAAGTTACTTATTCAGAATGTGGAGCTAGGACTGTCACAGTTATTCAGAAGGAAGAACTACGGTTACATATAAATCTCTTAAATAATTGAATTAGGGAACGCTAACCTGAGTCAGTGTAACTGGCTCCTTGCTCAGAAGTCGGGTAGGTTTTCTACTGCTCATCTGCCTTCCTAATTTTATAGCTAAGCCCATGTTTTCATTACTTTTCTCTGCAGCCCAGCGCGCTGCAAAC